TGTTAATTCAATCTATAATTTAATTATTCAGATTCGTTACGATGCGACTATTTCACCAAAAACTGTTATTAAATTTATGACGGACGGTGTTTTACTTCGTGAGCTTTCCGGAGACTTCCTATTGTCAAAATATTCAGCGATTATAATTGACGAAGCACATGAAAGAAGTTTGAACACAGATATCTTGATTGGTGTTATTAGTCGTGTTCTTCGGTTGCGTAAAGAGTTGAGTGAGGATGATAAATCGAAAATTAAAGTAGTTAATTTATTACTAACTAATTAATTAACATTAATTGCACTGTCATAACTCATATTGTGATTTCTATTACAGCCTTTGAAGGTTATCATCATGTCAGCTACGTTGCGTATTTCTGATTTTACACAGAATAGGAGATTGTTTGACATTCCACCTCCAGTCATAAATGTTAATGCACGACAATATCCTGTAAGATATATTAACTATCTAAATTTTATTAAGTAAAGAAGCAAATTGATTCCTTTCTCATTCTAGGTTTCAATCCATTTTAATAAACGAACTCCACGTATTGATTATGTTACAGAGGCATTTAAAAAGATTTGCAAGATTCACACAAGGCTTCCACGTGGAGGTTGGTTTAATTAATTAATAAATTTATTACTATTACATATTATTATTTTAAACTTTAGCAATGATTGTTTATGATTGTTTATGATTAAATCCTGCATTTAGGAATTCTTGTATTCATGACGGGACAAAATGAAATATCTATTCTTTGTAAGAAACTTCGTAATAAGTTTCCCTATATATCATCCAATCGATCCTATCAGAGTAGTACAAAAATTAAGGAAGAATCGCAAATTGACGAACCTTATGAACATATTCGAGAAGGATTGTCTACTAAAAATGGTATTTTCAGTATTTGCAGTGATGGATATTTCATTTCTTAAATATATTTAATTCTAATTTATCTTTATACAGTTGATCCTGAAATCGAAGAATTGGTTATAGGCGAGAATGATCAAGGTTACCATGATAATTTTGATACGGATTCTGAGGATTCCGCCACCGAGTTTGAAAATGATGAATTGGACAATGAATATGGTTTACTATCTCAATATGATCATTTATTAGTTAAACTTGAACTTTGATCACATTAATTAATTCGATTTGCTATTATAATCATTTTATATAAGCCGAACCTTTATATGTTCTTCCGCTGTATTCCTTACTTTCAACTCGGGCTCAAATGCGCGTGTTTGAGCCACCACCTGAGGGAACGCGTCTTTGTGTTGTTGCAACTAATGTAGCCGAAACTTCTTTAACTATTCCTGGTATTACGTATGTTGTAGACTGTGGGAAAGTTAAAGAACGCCGTTATAATGCAAATACTGGTGTTCAATCGTTTGTAATTGACTGGATCTCAAAAGCATCTGCTGATCAACGTGCAGGTCGTGCAGGTCGAACAGGCCCTGGTCATTGTTATCGGTTGTATTCCTCGGCTGTATTCAACGATCAATTTCAACAATTTACCATTCCTGAAATTCATAGAACACCGATAGAAGGTGTTATACTGCAGATGAAAGCGATGAATATTGATACCGTATCTAACTTTCCATTCCCAACACCTCCTGATCGTGGTCAATTGAAGAAGGCAGAAAAATTGTTACAATACATGGGAGCATTAGATGAAAACAGCCAAATTACTTCTTTGGGGCGTGCAATGGCGACATTTCCTCTTGCACCCCGATTCTCCAAAATGTTAATAATTGGACAGCAACATGAATGTCTTCCATACGTCATTGCAATTGTATCAGCCTTATCAGTTGGTGATCCTTTTATAAGGGAGTATCATTTAGATGATACAGATTCAGATAGCGACTGTGACAAAGATGAATCTGAAGATTATGTTCAAACGAAGGAATTAAATGAAATTCAAAAAGAAATAATCTTTAAAAAGGAACGTCGAAAATTGACGCGGAAGAGATTTTATGATGTTCAAAAAGTATGTTAATTTGTTGAAAATGTTTCGGGGGGGGTTTTTTTTTTTTGGTTAGTTTTTTTTTTAAATAATCCATGCATCCTTATAATTAGATACATGCTGGGCTTGATCCTACAAGTGATGTATTAAAATTCCTAAACGTTGTTGGTGCTTACGAGTATTCTGGAAGTAGTGAAATGTTTTGTGAAGATAATTTTGTACGGGCAAAGGTAATTTCACTCATACTTGTCATTAGACTTTTATTAATAACTAATGAAGTTGATTACTTGACCAGGCTATGCAAGAAATACATAAATTAAGAGGCCAGATAACGAATATTGTTCAAACTAATTGTCATGGAGTTGATGTGTGCGTAGATCCAAAAATGAAACCACCTTCTGCTATCCAGGTATGATTTAAATAGCTTTTCGTTGATCATATTTTCTGTTGAAATTAAAAAATTATTAAAATCATATTAGCTCGAAGCTCTCCGTCAAATAATTGCAGCCGGATTTATTGATCAAGTTGCTATACGTAAGGACGTGGTAGATGGGACAGTGAAAACATATTCTTCTACTAGAGGTATTGCATATTCTACTATGTGGACGGATGAAGATGTTTTTGTTCATCCCTCTTCTGTTTTGTATCATGAGAAGCCACCAGATTTTGTGGTTTATCAAGAATTACAACGTACAAATAAAGTATGGATGAAAGGTATTGTATTGAATGAACTTGGTGCTTATACAGGCACACCGATGTAGAATGACATTTAACGACTAATTTTAATATGCAGGTATTACAATTATAAAACCAGAATGGCTCTCTAAGCTTGGAAAATCTTTGTGTGTATTTTCTAAGCCAAAAAAAATTCCTGCCTCCAAGTATGTAGTAAATTGGGTTACAGGGTAAAATCCTGATATACAGAATCCTGACAAACAAAATCCCGACAAAAATTGACCAGAACTATGGCTAATGTGAGCTAGTCGAGATTTTGTTTGTCGGAATTTTAGCCTGTAACCAGTAAATTGTTTGTATTAGTTATTATTCATTCGAATAAATATAACATTATCCTCTTGTAAATAGGTTGAAGAGTAAGGATAACGAAATGATGGTATATGTCACACCTTGTTTTGGCCCAAAAAGTTGGGAACTCCCGCCAATCAAAGTAAAATGTGTAAAATAAGGTTGCAGTCAAACCTCCTTTTGAAATTACTACATAAATTTGGGGTTGAAGCGGACTTTATTTCATTTTGGATGATAACCAAAATCTAGTTAAATATCCATTCTTAGTCAATGATGTAAAATTTAAAATCCATCAAAATTTGTTAATACTATAAATTATTAATTTTCTTATTTTTATTTTCAAATTAAGAGTTTAAGATGATTAGCGACTAAACAGGATACATTGAATAAAGTAGGTCTAATTATGAATATGTGTACAATAAGTAAAAAATAATAAAATGAAAATTTTAACATCCAAAAATAAATTCGAAGTCTTTTTGATCAATTAATAAAGATCTGTTTTGTTGATACTTTCTCTGACTTGATAGTTACAATGATTTATGATAAAGTTATCAGTTTGCACTGTTCATAGTATTCACGATTTAATTTGAGATGAAAGAATACTTGAAAATAAAATATGTAACATATATTTATTTTTTTCCTTTAAATATATCATTCGATTTAACCAAATACAAAGTTAGTGTTTACAATAAAAAGACAAACTGTTCCTCTAAATACAATAAGAGTTGTATCAGCATTAATTCAAAACCAACAGCTAACGCCCATCTTCTGGATTTGAAAGTTAAGAACGCACGGTGAATCTTGATTGACTCGATGAAAATGCAGATCCGCTATGAATTCCATCCCATTTGAGGTATATTAGACCTGTGAATAAACAAATTATTTTAATATAAATTATTTTAGTACATTATTTTCTAACTAGCACTTCACCAAGTAATCCGATTAGCGAATCCTGTTACTATGCATTAAAATTTTAATTTACACCCAGAATTCACCAACCGAAAGCAGTGATAAGATAATAAAACTCGGTTCAGTTATTGGGCAAATATAATTGAGTCAGAATTGTAAAAGTCCGATTTGTTTGTTTTTAGCGAATTTTCACGCACATCATTGACAATGACAATTTTATTTTGATGAAATCCACAATGTATTAAAAGCACTAAAATTATGAAAAGATACCATATATTGTCAACTAAAAGCAACCAAAAATAATAATAAATAAAAATAAAAATTGCAAAAAAATTGAGATTTTTGTAATCCAAGCTGAAGATATTGCTTACACATCTCTTCTGGACTAATTGATCAGAAATCAAACCCTGCCAAATTACCATCCTAGAATCAATTGCTTTTCGGTTGCTTCTAATCAGTAATATATGGTAGATTATTTACAAAAAAATATGTATATTTACATTTCCTTTAGGGCATCCCAAGCCCTTACTGCTCTATTATCTTCACTTTGATCAACAAAATTTTTCTCATTATTGGTATTATCATTATAACATATAGAACCAACACTTTCATCTAATCCACCCACAATTCTTCCAAGAATCTCAAGATTCTTGATAAACTCTTCTCGAGCTTTTGGAATCTTGTTGAACACATCAGCTTTTGATAACCGACGCAAATAACGTATCCAACTATCAATAGAAGGTATCAGACGAGCCTCAACATTAAGAATACCAGGTAACACTTCATCTTTGTTTTCCAATGAAAGTCCCTCAATTTTTTTCCATCCGAAAATTCTTGCTTCTAAAACGATCCAACCAACGCAAAATTCAGCAAGAGTGTGAACATCATACTCTATTTTTCGAATCTCTGAATTTTTATCTAGTGGATCATCTTCAGCACCTGTTTTTTCTTTCTTCCGCAAAGATACAGAAGTACTAGCTTTATCAGCACAGCGCACAGACGCCTCAACTTTACCATATACTAAAAGAATATGAGAAAGCAAGCCCATAGCAATAACCTGCTTGTTTAAGCTTTTGTCTGTTTTTTGAAATTCCTCCTTTAGCTTATTTACGAACTTTTCACCAGGTGCATGTTTCCCTTCTGAAAAAGCCTGCACAGCACATCCGACCAAAGCGTACCAATGCGTCAGTGACGCTGGCGTAGTGACGCTAAGCAGTTCTCCAAAAGTAAATTTACTTTTCTTTGCATTCTTTTTATTGCCATATCGCATAGAAACAAAGTTAGAAAATGTTTCTTTAAGATGAATAAAGCCTTGCATGTCTGAAATATGAATAAGCGGTATAGTAGTATTTCTCATGGGTGAAATAGTTTCATCGTTTTTCGACGAATGAAGAACATAATCACTGATTCTGTTGGCTACAACTTTCCACATATCACTATTTGAGTCGCTGATAAGAGCAATTTCAAACCATTTATCTTCAGGTCCAACGCGTCCTTTCTCCTTAACAGCCAATTTCCAGAAAGAAGAAACAACTTTTTGTGATAAAAAAGGGATAGAATGAAGACTTATGTAACATTGTATCGCAGCGTTCGCATATATACGAGAGGAGCTAATGTACAAATTTTTATGTATCGTGTAGGGATTTTCCAATAAGTTGACAGTACGGAGACATGTGTACAAAATTGAAAGACGACTTGCATTTTTATTTCCTGAAAAAAGCATGTAACGTTGATTAAAATTGTGAATAGGTAGATACTTAAATTATTAAGTCAATAATTCATGTAAATACTTTCCACCACATAATTCAACTTCACCGAGTCGACCCCATAATCCAACTTCCCACAACCTTTCATCCATGTCTATATTAGTAAAGCTGCCAGGGATTTCCCACCCTAGAAGTCGTCTTGAGAAAAATCTTAAGGATTCAGTGAATAAACCAATTAAAATCTCAAATGTATTCATCGGTGATCGATGCGAAAGGCGCGAAAGAGATGAATAGAGTGCCGTCGCATCTTTAGTTTTGGCAGTTAAAACAGAGATGATAACTGATTTTGATTTTCGAATAATACGTGGTTGGCTTGAAAATAGGGATGGCCGAATAATATATGCCAAGCACATAATGAAGGCAAAAATTCTTGCGAAATACCTATTTACAATTTAATATACGTATGTTTACACCATGAACATACTGTATAATAAAATAAATATGTGAATATTATAAGCTTACCAAATGTTAATCGTTATTGTACCGTCGCTGGAATTGTAAGTTCCTTTTGGAATTTCAGATTTATTATTGATTGGCGACCCATTGCTACTCATAACACGACCTTCACTGTGATGATAGGATGTATACTGATCGTAGCTTGATGATGTAAAAAATGTCATACACATAAATAAAGCCATCATAGCTCTTGAACCAGTGTTTGCAGATGGTGGAGTCGGTGGAAGATAATCAAATTCATCGTGATTAGAGACAGAGGGATCCGAGTCAGTATCCTCAGATGTATCAGATGGAGTCCCAACACCTTCAACTGCCATTTTTTTGATATGATAAGCGTTGTATAACTCAATGCCGCCTGGAAGAGCTTCAATCATCTTTCTTAATACCTCATTTTCACTTTTGATTTTTTTGTTATTATTTTTCAAATATGTGATATATTCTGTTGATTTTCTCAAAATAGTAGCTTTATTCAATTTTGTGGCAGCTGGGATACCATCCACTTCGTTATCTTCATCATTGTCTTCTTTATTTTTTAAAGAACAAAGAGCGGGGACAACATTTTTGAGTTCATTTATACGATCATTTATGTTATTTCTATATCGACGTTCTATTGCGTTATGTGCAACTTTCTTTTGTTGTTTGTTGGACTGTATCTGGGACTGAGGCAGTGGAGTAACAGTTGAAGGTTTGAGTCGCGTTATAGCGACCTTCGCAGTAGAATTCACAGCATCGCGCGATGATGGAAGTATCGGAATATTAGGAAATTGGGGTGTATCTAAATCAGACAAATGAACATTGACTAAAAGTTAGACGACATTCATATGAAAAATGTAACGGATCATAATACATGCAAAATCTAGAAAGCACACCAGTAATTCTGTTTGAATTCATCACATTCGGGATAAAGTTTTGGTTTGTAGTCTCAGACCAAGAAGGTTGACTAAATACATCTGGGACACAATTGGAAGATATATCGGTGCTAACCATTAAAGAATTTGGGACGCCTATATTTTGTACACTTGAACCTACACTTAGTTCATCAATACATGTTGTTGCTTCATTATGTGAGGCGTGGTTTTGAGGATTTGGTTCATTTTTGACATAAGATCTAGTTGCTGATGATTTAAGGCCGTCTAATTGTTTCGTTACGGTCTTAGTAATCCCACCTGTGTTTTTTCGTTTCTTTTTTAAGGATCTATCTGGTAAAGTAGACTCATGTTCCACCGAAACACGCTTATTCAAATTCTCAGTTTGAGTCATTAAAGGATCAGCTTTAGTTGATAATTGATCAAATTGTTCTTCTATAGAAGAACATGTATTTAAATCGGTCAATGTAATGCCAGTTGACGAAGTATTAAAACTTTGCATGGAAGGGAAATTTTGAGGTGAAGGAGCTGTTATAGAACAATTATCTTTAAGAATTGGATAAGAATTTGGTGTGTTGAAAAAAGGTTCTGAAGAAGTCAGTGAAGCTAAAATATCCGGAGAAGTGAATATGCCATTTCTTGAGGAAGGAAATGAGTACGGGAAATTATCGAATGAATTAGCAGCGGCCATATGGTTACTGGCCGCTATAGTTGCTTGAAATTGAGTAGCAAATTGCTCAAACTCGTACAGGGTAGTTGACGGTAATTGACCGACGGAAGTGCCGTTATTGCTCATACCATTTGCAGTTGTAAAATCATCAAGGTAAGGTTCACACATTGATAAATCTTGGTCTGTAGAATGTACTGGCAGTCCAGTGAGCAAAAAATTGGCATCATACATGTTATGTTCTCTTAACGTTGCATAAAAGTTTGGATCGTGAGTACGTACTTAAAAATTGTAAAAGCCGTTAGTATATATAAATATATTACCTTATCGGTTAAGCTTGGAAAATCAAAAATCGAAATTGTACCAATACGCACATACAATGGAAAAAACAAACTTAAAAAAAATATTACTTCATTATTCACATATGGCAAACAAAAAGTTACCCAATATATATAGTAAATAAAGATTATCGTTATTATTTAAAAATTATTTAAGGGTAGGATGAATGTAGATCATTTTTCTATGATCTACGGGTTTTTACATAGTAAATAAAAAAATGTATCTGATAAAACTTTTTAACATCTTAATCAATATGTATCAAATTTATATGATATGTAGTTTAAAATAGTTTGTTTATGATAGCGAAGTTGCGCAATATGCATTGCTTTAAAAAAAGTTACCTTCACATATAATAAAAGTTTATTCAGTTCGCTATGTTTTTCCAGGTAGTACGAAGAATTGCTAATTCTGATTGGTCGAATCATATGATGTTTACATAATATCTATTACATATTATTTACACAATATTGATCTACAATCTATTTTATATAAATTCGAAAATGTTAACACCTTTAAATATCGATATACTGTATATTGTACGTATATATATTAATATTGTTAATTAGTAATAATTTATATATATACGTATTAGATTTTGATAGTATATTTTGTTCAAATATAATTACATATCATTTTGATTATTTCAATATCTGGATATACCAATATCTAATAATAATTTTTTTTAAAATTTTGAACCTATAAGTTTAATATAAAAATTTTTAATTAAATCAATATTTAAATATAGGATATTGTTAAATATCACAGGTTGCTATATCGCAGGTTAATATGATCGACCAATTAGATCACAGGATCTTGTGTAACAAAAATGACCAAAAAATTAGAAAAAATTAAAAAAAAAGTCAAAGTTTTAAATATCTCAAAATTTCATTATATAAACTAGTCTTGGGCTTCTAATTAAAATTTTCAACACTTAATTTTGCATATATTTATGTTTTTTAATACTAGCTCGAACCCTAACCCTAATTAATAATAATTTTAAATTTTTTTTTAAATATATATTAACCTGTGATATCACAACCTGCACATTTAACAAATTTCTAAATATATTATATTTTTTTTATTAATATATAATTCTTTATAACAATTATATAGTCAGATCAACTCTCTCTGACGATCACTCATACCAAACTTACGACTAACGAAAATGAAAAACTTGTTGGAGAAAGTAAAAGAGACAACTATATTTAATAGTTTTTATAGAGGTCAAGGCTTCTTGCTTTTCTTTTTTTTGAACTCTTTTGTATATTCAGCAAGCAAGTTAAAAGCATTCTTGTACAAGATAACTGGCAGGAGGTGGTGCTTTTGTGCAAAAAAATTTAATAGAAGCATAGCTTCTGCTGATGAAGTGAAAGATAGTTGGTCTGAAGGGGAACAACAAGCAAGTTTTCAACACACTTCCTATCGAAGTTTAAGAATACTTGCTAACCGAAACCTCTACCAAGACCTACTCTCTGTTCTTTACGAAGTTTCATCAAAAAGTGGAAAAGTCAGTGTACTCCTATCGAAAGATCGACAACAACAATCGCTACTGAAAAAAGAAAGTCACGTATAGTAGTACATGTCTACTTTGGAATAAAAAATGTGTTGATCGGCTTCTCTAAGAGGTTACGGTGTTTACACTGTTAACTTTGCCCCGGAAATGAGTGAAGACACATTGTAGGATACCACATCGAAAATCTGGTGAAACTGCAAGAAAAATTTCGAACTTGGATCTCTACTCAAGAATAGATATTGTATATATCCTAATATAGATATAAATAACTAGTGTAGAG